ATCTCGTACTCGACCAAGAAGCCATTTCTTGGGTGGTAGCTGCCTGTCTTTGATGAGGACTAAGGTATTTATCTTGATATTTGAACGATTCACCTTCCACTTCTGCCTCTGCTGAAGTTCTGAAATATATTCTAAAGACCACCGTTTCCAGAAATGTTGCTGAAGGAACTGGAGCCTTTCGTGTAACTGTAGACGAGTTTCCTTTTTATTGGATAAGTCGACTTCAGGAATTGAGTTGATTGGTCGGCCAATTAAGAAGTGAGAAGGTGTTAGTGGATTTAAATCGGAAGGATCATTGGAAAGAGGAGAAAGAGGTCTAGAATTTAGTATTCCTTCTAATTGAACAAGAATTGTTTGAAAGTCTTCATAAGTCAGTAAAGAATTGGACAAAACTCTTTTCATATGTGATTTCATTGATTTGACCCCTGACTCCCAAATACCACCGAAGTGAGGAGTATAACATGGAATAAATTTCCAAGAAATTTGGTTATGATTGCATTCATCATTAATTTTATCTTTATTTAATTTTAAAAATTCACCTAATGCATTGAGTTCATTGAATGCACCAGTAAAATTTGATCCATTATCTGACATCAGCTGAGTGGGTTTGCCCCTGCGAGAAATGAAACGTTTTAAGGCTGACAAAAAAGTTTGAGTTGAAAGATCTGATACAAGTTCCAAGTGTAAGGCCTTTGTGCTGAGGCATACAAATAAGCATACATATCCCTTATAAGTCTTGCAGCCACGTCCTCGCCTATCCTTAAGAAGAAAAGGACCGGCATAGTCGACCCCAGTAATAGCGAAAGGAAATGAAGGCTGTACACGGGCTGCAGGAAGATCACCCATTATTGGATTAATAAAAGAAGGATGGGTCTTGAAACAAGTTACACAGTTACGAACAACAGCCTTAGCAGTGTTTTTATCATGAACTGGCCAAAAATTTTTCCCTCATGAGGTATAACAATTGCTGAGGACCACAATGTAGTGGTCGAATGTGAATGTCCTTAAAGAGAAGTTTGGTAACATGATGACTGGAAGGAAGTAGGACAGGATGTCTTTTATCCTGACTAAACAATGAATTTTTAAGTCTACCTCCTACACAAAGAAGACCATCATTATCGATGAAAGGATGTAAAGAAATTATGTTAGACGTGTTGTTGTAATACTATTAGAAACGATCCCCAGAGTATCCGAAATTCAATACGTCAATTAACAATTCGGCAACAAAAATGTGTACAGGCTGCAGGGTTCCATTTCGAAAATCTATTTTGAATTATTTTTATTTTGTTACCATTATTGTATCTTTTCCAGTTCTAATTTATGGGTTTATCATAACTATGTACATATTTTTAGTTTTTTTTTTTAATTTTTCTTCGTTATTGTTAGTAATTACTGTTTTTTGTTGTGCAGTGACTCAGTTTATCATTTCAATTAGAATGTTTGAAATTTATAACATTTGTTTAAATTAATTACCTTATAATTTGATACTTCATTATGGTTGTTCTATTTTTGGTAAGATTTGATCGTTCACTAAAAATTTAATAAAAGTGCGACAATATTGTCGCATATGTCGTTTTCATTGGCTATTTATGTAGTTTGAAAATCACTTATTGCATTTTAAAAAATATATATACAGGGTGTAATATTTAATACGAATCCCTAAATTAATTTTTCCAAAGCCAGTCCTGGAATTTTTTAGTTTAGCTCATACCAGTCGAATGCTTGATAGTAGTGTACTGTATTATGCAAAAATTAAAAAAATCAAATGAGCCGTATAAACACTACAGTAAAATGAAATAAATGGTCAATTATACAAATCACCCTGTTAATTAATAAAGAAGAGGCGTTGAAATTTTTTAGTGGCCACATGATATGCTCCCTGAGGGACTCTACATATAGTAGAAGTATGTAAAGTTCCTCATGACTCACCCTGTGTAACGAGTCGTCTCATTCTGAATCAGATTTCAGTGTTTATGATACTACATGACAGCGAAAATAAAGATATGGTTCCATTCACTCTCGAAAAAGTTCCAGAACCAGACACTTTTTTAAAGGTATGAGCTTCTACTAATTTCGCCTCTAATCAACATAACTGCTACAAAGCAAAAACCAGCAATTAATAGCAAAGCTCAAGAAGTTACGAAGGATTTATTTTCCACAGAGATAGAAAAACCACCGAAAGGTAAAAGTAACAAAGAACCTTCCAAACAACAAGAAAAATCAAAAAACAAAAACAAAGAACAGGAAGAAAAGAAAATAAACAAACATCAAAAAGAACAAGTGAAAGACAATATGTACAAAGAAAATAAAGAAAAGAAAATAAACAAGAATTTAAAAAGTAGTGAATCATGGTTCGGTCATGTATGTAATGAAGACCGCCAGGCTGATTTGAGATTATGTCTTGCATGTGGCCAATACGTACATGAAAACTGTGTGGGTCTTACTAAACATTTCATATGCCCCAATTGTTCTCAAAAATAGTAAATGTCTCACATTAGTTTTTTAAATGTTAAGGAATATTATTACTTATTTTTATTAAAAAATACCTGTTCCTGTTATTGCCAGTACTGTGGCAATATTAAGAGTATAGGTTCAAAATATTGCCAGTTGGCAATTGTTAAAAAAAAAGAAGAATATACATTTTTTTGATTGTTTTATTTTTATAATTGTTTAGAAATTAGACTATAAACATGTTTGTTACTTGTTTAATAAATTTACAGGTTATTTCAAATAAATTTGTAATAAAAAATAATAATATTGTTCTGAAGCTATTTTCTTGTGGCATTGTAAATTAATTACTATTTAACTGGGAATAAGCCACAATTAAAGATAAAAATACGTTTATTGACGTTTCAATTTCCACTTCGGAAATCGTTCTCAAAATACAAACAGTAAATTAAACAAAATTTTGTTTTTTGTTACATAGTGAAAAATTCTTCTAATAATTTAATTTTAGCTGACTCATTTATATTGACAATTCAGACATACATTATGCATTTTAAAGTAGACGACTTTAAAATGATATTGCCAATATTGTTGAGTTGCGCTCCTGGGACGACTTTACTTATAAGATAGTTCATTCGATTACATGAAATCAACTTTAACTTGAGAATATCCGTCAGAAAAAATCATAGCATGTAATTCGTCTTTAAAAAGACAAACACATGACATGATGACAGTAAAATTCTCCTGTTAGTGATTCCATAGTAAATTATGAGGGAAAAACCTTCAACAAATATCAAAATTCTGATTTTATATGTTACGTTATATAAGAAACATAAATGATGTATCCTCTATATGTTACTGACTTACTAATACTGGTATTTTTATAATAATAATTAATAACTTCCTCTTTCAATATTGGTAAACAGATCCTACTACATTCAGGAACATTGAGGAAAAGAACAATACCGTACATAAAAGGATTATCAGAAAAACTTAAAAGGATAGGAAATAAATTCAACATTTCAACAACATTCAAAACAACAAACACGTTGAGATCTATTTTGTCCAAAACCAAACCTAACAATGAACAAGAAAGGACAAAGAATTGCATTTATAAAATACCTTGTGAATGCGATCAGTTTTATTTAGGTGAATCATCAAGGCCATTAAATGTTAGAATAAGTGAACATCAATCTTATATTAAAAATAGAGAATTTGATAGATCTCAAATATGTAAACACGCATGGGATAATGAACATAGGGTTCAATGGAATAATTCAAATGTAGTCCTAAAAGAAACGGATGGTAAAAAAAGAAAAATCAAAGAAGCGGCTCTAATTATGCTAAATGAGACCAATTGTGTCGCAAATTCCTCGGCAGAATGTAGTAGGATCTGGTTACCAATATTGAAAGAGGAAGTTATTAATAAGAAAATACCAGTATTAGTAAGTCAGTAACATATAGAGGATACATCATTTATGTTTTTTAAATAACGTAACATATAAAATCAGAATTTTGATGTTAGTTGAAGGTAAACTAAATTCACGAACAAATACTTACAATGTCGGGATAGTATTATGAGGTTTTTTTCCTGGTTTTTCCCTCATAATTTACTATGGAATCACTAACAGGAGAATTTTACTGTCATCATGTCATGTGTTTGTCTTTTTAAAGACGAATTACATGCTATGATTTTTTTCTGACGGATATTCTCAAGTTAAAGTTGATTTCATGTAATCGAATGAACTATCTTATAAGTAAAGTCGTCCCAGGAGCGCAACTCAACAATATTGGCAATATCATTTTAAAGTCGTCTACTTTAAAATGCATAATGTATGTCTGAATTGTCAATATAAATGAGTCAGATAAAATTAAATTATTAGAAGAATTTTTCACTATGTAACAAAAAACAAAATTTGTTTAATTTACTGTTTGTATTTTGAGAACGATTTCCGAAATGGAAATTGAAACGTCAATAAACGTATTTTTATCTTTAATTGTGGCTTATTCCCAGTTAAATAGTAATTAAAAAATAATAAGTCTTAGCATGGCAATATTTAGCTCACTTACCTTATAGTTTTATTTATAATAATAGTATAATAAAGAATGATGACGATGATGAGTATAATGATGTAGATAATACAAATTTCAATAAATATTTTTTGTTACTTTAGCATAAAATAAATTAAATAGCTTAAATACACGTATTACTGCGGTTTTTTTTTATATACATTAAAAAAATAAAAAACTGTTTTTTGTGCATATTTTAAGGTTTTTTAAGTGCCTATTTCCCAAGCTCTAGTCATCAGTTATCCCCCATATACCTGTTAGAACCTGTAAAAACCTTTTTATGATTTTTTTTCAGTTGTTTTTTCTTTACTGGCCTACTCTCTTTCTGTTGCACCCTATACAATAAAAGAATTTAAACTATTTTATGTTTTAGTGATATTACTTCGAAGTTTTATGGTGCATCACAGAAAATTTTAAAATCGCATAAAACTGTAAAAACAGCCAATAGATGATATAAAAAACAAAGCAATTTAATAAAAACTTACCAAAAATTTGAAATCCAAGCACGAGCAAAAATATTTGCAAAATATTCGCTTGGAACTGCATGCCTACTCAAAGTTAATACTCGCCGATCATGAATCAATTCATGGATTACGCACTCCGCGGTCACAGCGTCTTCTAGCGATGTAGTTTCAGAGAAACTGGTGTTTCCGTTGCACAAGATGCGGTCTGGATGCTAGGAGATCTCCTTCCACTTAACTGGAGTATTATAGAGAGGATGTTTTGGAGATGATTGTCAGACGAGAGATTTAGTGCGTTAAAAAGAAAATAAGAAATAAATATATCGATGTTTGATTAGGGTATTTTCGACTGAAAGAGTAAAAGTTTTATAATGCCAATACCGGAAAAGAATAATAATAAAACTACATAGACCAGGGAACTTAGGATTTTTACATGACACTGGTTGATACAGGTATCTAATAACAACGTGTGATAAATTTGGGGATAACAATATGTAATAAGATCAATCAGGGTAAATGTGGACTGAGGCAAATGAGGACATCGAAAATAAAATCGTTAATAAAAGCGCTCTATGTTGAATCAGATAGACCACGTACTGATTGATTTAAAACATGGATCAGATATTTACTAGACTGCAGAAATTATAGAGGTGCAAATATTGACTCCGATCACTATGTCATAGCTGGACGTCTCAGAGCACGTAGATCAAACGCCAGGAACGATAAAACTAAACCAAAAATAATCAAATATAATGTTGATAAATTAAAGTGTACTGTAGTCGTAAGAAACTTCCAAATATGCTTAGCTCGTAAAATATCAGAACATCCCAGAAGTGAGGTATATCCCACTGAACTTAACACAAATTGGGAGTTTATGAAAACCACGCTCAAAGAGACCGCAGAGGAAGTGCTGGGTGAAGTACCCTAAGGACAGCGAAACAACTGGTTTGATGAGGAATGCCAACGAGTAACGAAAGAGAAGAACGACGCGTTTTTGAAAATGATCAACAGAAGGAGTAGGAGCAATGTTGAAGAATATCGAGTAAAGAGACGAGAGGAAAAACAAAAACACAAACAGAGAAAGCGGCAACAAATCAATAAAGAGTTCGAAGAAATGGAAAACCTTAATAGAGAATACGAATACAGAAAATTTTACAAACAGGTTAACATAAAAAGAAAAGTTTTCAAGCCATAAGCGAACCAAGTCAAGGCCTTAACGGAATTCTTTTAAACGAGAGAGTGGAAGTACTAGAAAGATGGCAGGAACATTTTAGTACGCTACTTAATGGAGAAAGTAGAACTGAAGGTAGATATGATATAGAAATAGAACAGGAGGATACTGAACTAAACTTTGGAAGAAATAAACAAAGCAATTCAGTCTCCAGCCAGAAACAAGTCACCCGGAGCAGACAACCTACCCGCAGAAATATTTAAATGTAGCGGTCAAACATTTGTAACCCTCCTTCACAAACTAATAATACAGGTATGGCAAGAACACGCGTTACCAGAAGATTGGAATAATGGAATTATATGCCCCATACACAAAAAAGGAAACGTTCTTGAATGTTCCAACTTTAGAGGGATTTCCCTTCCCTGATACTTAACGAACGACTGGCACGGTATACTGACAATATAATAGGATCCTACCAAAGAGGCTTCTTGAAAACAAATCTACCATTAATCACATATCATCCATCAGACAAACATTAGAAAAAACAACGGAGTACGACATAGACTGCCATTACATCTTCGTAGACTTTAAGGCAGCGTACGATACTATTGACAGGTCCCAATTATATTGGGCGATGATTGAATTAGGAATAGCAAAAGGTTTGGTAGAATTAATTAAAATGACAATGATGAAAGTCGAATGTAAAGTGCGCGTACAAGGGGATGGGAGATGTGCTATCGTGCACGCTGTTCAACCTAGCGTTAGAAAAAGTTATAAGAGATTCGGAAATAAACTTAAAAGGTACGATATATACCCGTAGTATACAAATAATGGCATACGCTGATGATATCTTCATAATTGGAAGAACCCAAAATGAATCAGTGGAGGCTTTCACACGTATCAAAAATGCCGCAGAAAACATCGGACTTCTGATTAACATGAAAACTAAATATATGCCGGCCATATCAAGAATTCAACAAAATAATTTAGAGGTGCAACACGAAACAATAGAAATGGTAGAAGAATTCTGCTACTTAGGATCACTGTTAGACTACAAAAATAACACATCCAATGAGATAAAAAAAAATATGCGTGGCTAACCGCTGTTATTTCGGCCTGGGCCCTCAACTAAGAGCGAGAAATATGTCAATAGCAACAAAGTGCAAACTTTATAAAACAATAATACGCCCAGTGCTCACATACGGATGGGAAACATGGGCAATGACGACCCGAGATGAAGAGTTACTACGAGTCTTTGAAAGAAAAGTATTGAGGACCATATATGGCGGAGTAAACGAACAGGGTCTGTGGAGAAGGTGATATAACTTTGAATTGTATAGACTATTTGGTGATGCAGATTGTCACAGCCATTTGATAATTATTTTGTTTGTATACCGCTTTAAATGCTGAAGTTAAAAATCTCTTATTAAAATTCAAAGAAAGCTTTAGCTATAAAACCTTTTTAAATCATAACAATCTTTCCACTTGTCGGCAATAATTCTTATATTTTATCGCCATCACTTCAATTTATTTTCTTTATTTTAACGCGTAAGTGGTGTAATAAAAATTGATGAGGTTCTTACAGTTGACTAAGACTCTGAGGGCTGAACGGTCGATGTTTCCGTGGCGTAAGATTTTTTAATTTTGTCTATGTATAGATTGATGCTTATAAGTGATAATTTTTGTTACATCATTTTTTAAAAGCACGCGATATGTTTTGTCGGGAACTGGCAAATATAGATTTTCAATAATTTTTGAAGTTTAATTTTGCAATATACGAACCGTGTATTTTATACGCAAATTCGGGTAGAATTGCGTTGGTACACACTTGACATATTTGGCGACCGTGACAGGACTGTTTCCATAAAATTAATCGTGGTTGTATATGAGGTGTAACAAAAAATTGAATTGACGATCACCGGACAAACTTTATCGCGTTTCGCCTGTAACTTTCGGTAAACGTGTGTGGTTTTGACCAAGTTTGCAGAGAAAAATGGATCAAAAGAAGAAACATCGCAAAGTGCTCCGTAGCACCTTCACGAGGACGGCGAATGAAATGGATAAGCTTTTGTCGGCGCCGGAGGGTGAGATACGATCAATTAAAGTTTCCTTGGATCTATTACGCCAAAAAATTGAAGACCTAAGGAAAAGTGATGAAGAAATCTACGGTCTATTACTAAGTGAAGACGCTAGTGAAGAAGACCTTTTAGCAGAAATTGAGTGTAGTGACAACTATAGCAAGAAGTTTTTGGATCTCAGTATGCAGTTCGAAGACCGTATGCAGTCAATAGTGACAGGTGCAGTGGAAGGTGAGGTAGCTTCTAGGATATCTGATGATAGGAGTAGTTTAGACAGCAGACGCGGTAAGCGAAAATTTAAATTACCTACATTAGAGTTCAAAAAATTCGACGGGAATATTAAAAACTGGTTGCCTTTTTGGTCACAATTTCAAAAAGTTCATCATGATCCTGACATAGATCCGAACGACAAGGTCGAATATTTGATTCAAGCTACTATACCGGGTAGTAGAGCTAGGCAACTAGTGGATAGTTTTCCCGCCACTGGAAGTAATTATGATGCTATGATTGACTGTCTTATTTCGCGTTTCGGTCGGGATGACTTGCAGATCGAAGTTTATGTACGGGAATTACTTAAATTAGTAATAAATAATACTGCGTCTGGCAATAAATTAGATCTATCCTTGTTATACGACAAATTAGAGACTCAGTTGAGGGTTCTGGAAACACTCGGTATTAAGTCGGATAAATACGCGGCTATGTTATTTCCTTTAGTTGAATCCTGTCTACCTTCAGATTTATTAAGAGTTTGGCAACGATTGCCAGAAAGTATCGGATCACAAGCGTCACTTAATACTGCCGGCATCGCAAGCATCGAAAATCGACTTCAGAGTTTAATGTTGTTCTTGAAAAAGGAAGTTGACAATGAGCAGCACCTTTCTTTAGCAGTCGAGAATTTCCATTTGCATGCTGCTAAAACCGAAGATTTTAAATCTACAGGCCCAAAAACAAGGAGACACGAGGAAAACAAGCACAAGTCTCCTTCCGCGATGGGTTTAGTTAATTCTCACACTATCTATAAATGTGTTTTTTGTCAGAATTCGCATGAAAGCAGCCACTGTTTTAAAGCACAGAAATTAACTTATGACCAAAGGAAAAATATTTTGACAGAAAAAGGCGCGTGTTTTCGTTGTTTGAAAATTGGGCATCAGTCTCGAAAATGTCGCAGTCAATTAAGTTGTTTAATTTGCTCTAAATCGCATGTACCTTTAATGTGCACTGAACATTCAAGACACCGGGTAAAGCAGGACACAGAAGAGCAGAAAGAAAACGATGGCATTGCCGTGCCAAGAATTGAACAGACGCTCGCTAATAGTGCTAATACGAATGTTTTTTTGCAAACTCTGCGTATTGAAATAAACTATTTAGACAAGTCGCGAGTTGTACGTGCTCTTATAGATACCGGATCGCAAAAAACGTACATTTTGAAATCTACAGCTAAACTTTTGGGTTATCCTAGTAAACGACAGATTAATCTAGTACATGGATTGTTTGGAGGAAACCAATTAGCGCAAAAACATGATTGCTATGATGTTAGAGTGTTTCATAACAATTATAGTTATACATTTGAGGCACTAGATCAAAACGTTATATGTAGCGACGTCTCTTCCATATTTAATGGTCCCTGGATAGAAGAACTTGGTATGTTTAATATAAAACTATCGGACTTGGGTGATGCGTCTCCTATAGAGATTTTAATAGGTGCTGATATTGCTGGAAAACTCTATACTGGGAGGAGGCACATATTGGAAAGTGGATTGGTAGCTGTAGAAACATTATTAGGTTGGACTTTAATGGGCAAGATACCTTTAGGTCAACGGGACAATAATACCACATCGGCTGTATCACTTTTTGTTAAAAATGCTTCAGTTAGTAATCTTTGGGAGCTAGACGTTTTGGGCATTGGTGATCCAACTGAAAGGAAGTCAAGTGAAGAAACTGCGCTAGCAGCCAGGAAACTTTTCTTTAAAACAGTGTCATCGGATTCTAGTGGACGATATGAAGTGAGACTCCCATGGCTGGAAGGACATCCAGCATTGCCGAGCAACTACCAAATTGCAAAAAGGAGACTCGAGAGCACATTTAAGAAAATAACGAAAGACGGATATCTTGAAGCCTACGACCAAATATTTAAGGATTGGTTGGACGAAGGTATAATTGAAGAAATATCCGAGGAGCAGCCTAGCCAAGAATGTCATTATTTACCCCATAGACCGATAATTAAGCCAAATAGCTTATCTACAAAAATCAGACCGGTCTTTGATGCTTCGGCCAAAGAAAAACACAGACCTTCTTTAAATCAGTGTCTTGAAAAGGGGGTTAACCTGATTGAATTGATTCCAGCTATTTTGTTGAGATTTAGACAAAAGGAAATTGGTGTAATCTCCGATATTCGGAAAGCATTTTTGCAAATTGGCCTGCATAAAGCTGACAGGGATTTTCTTCGCTTTCTATGGATAGATAAAACTGGAAAAGCAAGGATTTACCGTCACCGTCGAGTTGTATTTGGAATAAGTAGTAGTCCATTTTTATTGGCAGCTACGCTGGACTATCATTTATCGCAGATGTTAGAAAAATGCTCTTCGGCACGGCTTAATGTTTCAGAAGACACAATTACAAATTTATCCAATAGTTTTTTACGTTGATAATTGTGTCACCAGTGTAAGAAATGAGCAGGAACTAAGAACTTTTATAGAAGAGTCAAACATAATAATGAGTGAAGGCAAGTTTGACCTCAGAGGGTGGGAGTATACTGGCCAAATACAGGATGAAAACCTTGCAGCTTCAACTCAGGTGTTGGGAATAAAGTGGAATAAGAGTGACGACACTCTATTTCTGAATAAAGACAATAGATTATCGGGAATGAACGCTTTTAAGGATGAGCATGGACTAATTCGCTTACAGTCGCGTATTAGTAATAGAAATGACCTAGAGTATTTTCGATTTCCTATAGTTTTACCGGCAAAACATTTTTTAGTGAATAGGTTGTTATTCCGGGAACATGTTAAGTCGTGTCATATTGGAACTCAAGGACTCACGAGTATCGTGCGCGAACGATATTGGATTTTAGGTGGTCGACGGGCGATAAAATCAGCCATCATTAAGTGTGTCGTCTGCAAAAGGCATAATGCGAAGCCATTCGGGGCAAGTGCTCCGCCGTTACCAGTAGATCGCGTCCGGGACGCGGTAGCATTCGAAACGACGGGCGTAGATTTTGCGGGACCGCTTTACCTAGCCACCGGAGGAAAAGCATGGATAATATGTCTTTTTACGTGTGCCGTATATCGTACTGTACATGTCGAACTTTGCACCTCGTTGTCAGTCGCCTGCTTCATGCAGGTTCTAAGACGTTTTATTGCCAGACGTGGTCGTCCGAAGACTATATACAGTGATAATGGAACTAACTTTGTCGGAACTGAGAACGCGTTTTCTCGAGTAGACTTTCAAAAAATAGCTGAGAACAGTATTAATGAGCGTATCTACCCCATGGAGTGCCCAGCAGATTTTTCTCAGACGCCAGGCAATGACCGAACGGACAACACGGGAGAGACCGAAGACAGAGGATCTCGTTTAAGTTTATGTGAAGGCGCGGAAGTGAGTGCCTCCGAAAACGACGCGGAAACGGGAGTGTCTGAAAGCAGAGTACCCGAAACGAAAAAAATTGTTACGCGAAGTGGGCGCAGCGTCAAAACTCCTGTGCGATACGCTAACGAGTAGATTTAGTTTTTGCTTAATTATATTTCGAATTTTGTCTGTTATGATTTTATGTTATTTGCTGTAGTTTTGTTTACTTTTGTGCCAATATTAATATTGTGAGCCATGTTTACTTTTGTAAAATGCCTCAGGTGGGAGGATGTCACAGCCATTTGATAATTATTTTGTTTGTATACCGCTTTAAATGCTGAAGTTAAAAATCTCTTATTAAAATTCAAAGAAAGCTTTAGCTATAAAACCTTTTTAAATCATAACAATCTTTCCACTTGTCGGCAATAATTCTTATATTTTATCGCCATCACTTCAATTTATTTTCTTTATTTTAACGCGTAAGTGGTGTAATAAAAATTGATGAGGTTCTTACAGTTGACTAAGACTCTGAGGGCTGAACGGTCGATGTTTCCGTGGCGTAAGATTTTTTAATTTTGTCTATGTATAGATTGATGCTTATAAGTGATAATTTTTGTTACATCATTTTTTAAAAGCACGCGATATGTTTTGTCGGGAACTGGCAAATATAGATTTTCAATAATTTTTGAAGTTTAATTTTGCAATATACGAACCGTGTATTTTATACGCAAATTCGGGTAGAATTGCGTTGGTACACACTTGACACAGATATTGTGAAGACCACCAAAATAAACCGCCTAAGGTGGGTGGGCCACGTTATGCGGATGGGTGAGAGTGATCCCACTAAAATAACTATGCTAAACAGGCCGGTCGGAAGAAGAAGAAGGAGGCGACCTAAACTCAGATATCTGGACGATGTACAGGAAGATCTGAGGGAGATTGGAGTGAGGGGCTGGAGAAGACAGACACTCGATAGGGAAGGATGGAAGAATGTTTTGAAGCAGGCCAAGGCTCACGAAGGGCTGTAGCGCCAACTGATGATGATGTTGATTTGTCTTTGTATCTCCCTTATATACTTAGGTGACATCTACCAGCAATCTACAAACTCACAATAAAAAGCTGTTAGTTTAACGCAAATGACACTGAAAGTTAACGTATAAAATATTTGGTGTATCGGTTTGGTCGGTGTCCACAATTACCTTAAAATAATATGTACAAGAGGTAAATGAAGACAGAATTTTGGGGTAATTATACAGAGACTTGGTTTCTAGTTGATACTCATTTTTTTCGTTACAGGTTAAAATAAATTGCAATATGGTAGGAAAATGTATATATATATATATATATATATATATATAATATATATATATATATATATATATATATATATATATATAAAATATATATATTTTATATAGAAAATATATATAAATATATTAAAAAAAGACCAGAGAAAACCTACACGGCAGAAAATGTAAAAGCTGCCGTAAACGACATCAAAAACCACAACCGTTTTTATCCCTCTGCTGCAGAATATTATGGAGTTTCAAGAAGTGTTATATTTAACCAATTAAATTCAAGAAAAACTTTACTGGAGTCTCTCGGCGCTAGTCGGCATAATGCTCTTTCAAAAGAAGTTGAGGGACAACTAGAACAGATAGTTTTAGCGAGAGCCGACTTTGGTTATCCCATGGATAAAGAAGAATTATTATCTTTCGTTCAAAGTTATTGTCAAGATTCAAACATTTCCACTCCTTTCAAGCAAAATAAACCCGGTCAAGATTGGTATAAGAATTTTATGAATCGACATCCTCGATTATCATTAAAGAAACCACAAAATTTGCAAAATAAAAGAGCCCTGTCTTCTGATCCTTTTGTTGTAGCAGACCATTACAATAAATTACAACAAATTGTAAATGAAAATTTATTTGATCAAATGCCCGAGCTTTTCTTCAACTGCGACGAGTCTGGATTTTGTACGCATCCCTCCAAAATTAAGGGTATTGGCCAGAAAAATAAAGCGCTTTATCAACGCATTCGTAGCACAGGTCGTGAAAATATATCAATCAACTGTTTCATTAGCGCTGATGGTTCTTATTTACCACCTCACATAATTTTTCAAGGAAGTGCAGTCTTACCAAGATGAACTGGAAGTGGTTTCGATTCTCCGCAGACCACATATTCGGACACTCCTAAAGGATATATGGAAGAGCAAGTCTTCTTTAATTGCTTTGTTGGTCAGTTTATACCCCATGTGAAAAAACTTAAAAGATCTTTGCCAAATGTGGAGCCTTTGGCAATTTTTTATTTAAAATCCTTTATAGAAGGTATAATAACATACTCAAACGGGCTATATCACAATTACAGAATGTTTTCGGATTGTAAATTCCATTATGCCAAATTAAGAGTAGTCTTGACTACGTCATGCGCGAAAGCGAACCGATTTTGGAACATTATGTATTATTCCTTGTACCTTCCCTTGTATTCATTGTAAAATTACCATTATGGTACAATATTCATTGTACAGGTACAGACCTCAGTTCGCTCATAGATAAAGAATATATATTACTGGAGTAATGATAAGCGTCTATATTCTTTGGTAATGAGTTCGCTTTTAATCACAAGCGAACTATTACATACTTGCAAATGCAAAAAAATATGAAAAAGTAAAAACGCAATAAATAAGTATTGAATTAATAGTTGAATAAATGTTAAGAAGTTACTTAATTCATATTTAATAACGGCTTTTAATAATTATTAGAAATTAAATAAAAATTGGAGATTTTATTTGTTGGCAGTCCTGTCACAATAAATTTTTAAATCAAAAGTTCCTAAAAATATGAAATATAAGTGAGGTTAAATTTTGTATGTACTTCATGTCTTAGAAAGAAAATTATTAGATAAATATGTCTATAAGGTCCTGTATTCGAGTAATTCCTTTATTAAGGAATAGTATAAACTCACATAGTTCGTGTCTGCCACGGACAATTAATTTCAATAGAAGTAATACTCACAGATCTATTTTCTCTTTATGTAACAAACTGGATATAAGATTATATTCAACAGAAAATAAATCAGAATCAAGGGAAATCTACTACGGATCTCTCACTCCGCAAATAAAAGCAGTTAAAGTAAGATATTTGTAATCTTTTAATAATTGACAACTTTAATTATCCATTTAATTTTGCTTGCAGATATTTTCATTATCATCAAGTGTAGTTGGAGTTATAGCTCAACCTTTTTTATATAATGAAATAGCTGCGACTGGAAATGTACCTGTTATTATAGCTGCATACACTGCTATTGGTTTTTTCACAGTTGTTACTCCTATATTGTTGCACTTAATTACGAAGAAGTATGTTACTCATCTGTACTACAAACCAAATACCAAGAGCTATGTTGCAAATAATGTTAATTTCTTCTGTTTGACCAAAAAGGTATGTATATTTTATTTTTGACAGAATGTCAAAAATATCAATAAGATGTATATATACTGGCATTATATCAATAAGAGTGTACATATACTGGCATTGGTTATAGTATGTTTAAGAATGAATTAAACTAAACGATTACAATAATTGAAATAAAATCAAGCTAAATTATAATATAAAAAACTGACTAAGTATATTTAATTTTTGGGATTTTCTCCATCTATAAATCTCCATCCATCAGAAATCTCCATTCTGTCATTCCTCTAATTTCTAAGACCTATTATTGTCACATGTTTCATTGTTTCCTGCCTAGAAGTTATCTCGAATATGAGATCCCGTTTTGTTAAATTATTTAACCAGATTATTTATGCCAGAATGATTTCAACATTCAAGTGGAATGTTTACATTTAGTGCATATATGTAAAAGAACATGTTACTCAATAAAAAATCCTTAAACTGTGAGAGTATCCACTCTTCTCAAAGACCAGATTATTATGCCAATTATTATTCCAAAATACATTATGGTAATCTTTTGGGCAAAATTTAAACAACCAAGAACATTTAGTTTTCTCCCCACTTATACATGTAAAAATACATATACATTAAAAGCTACAATGAAAATGCAACGAAAGTGAATGTTAAGTAGCTAAGATGACCTCTATATCACTGTGAACTAAATTTGATAAAGCCAGAATGAAGTTAAAAGATGTGTGGCCAGATATGTTACAAACTTTAAAAAATACCAAATAGAAAGAATAATACATGAAGATATTTTCAAGTTAGCCCACAAAAATGTAATAATTACATACAATACTTTACTGAATAACATACAGTCTAAGTATGTTATAGATAATTTAATGTAGAATATCAACCCAGTAAAAATTTGATACCTGATACAAAATAAAACACAAATAAGACTGAACACCAAGACAGAAAGAAGAAAACTTCGAAACTCCAGGCACAAACAACATGAGGCACTTTTTGGCTTAAATGTACTTCTCAAAAAATGCTGCTACCAATGTAAAGATATTTGGCTTTCATCGATTATGAACTAGCTTTCGATAGGGTAAGAGTGGAGGCTTTTGATAGAGTAGGCCTGGAACACTTTTGAACATATTAAGAACCAAAGGCATTGATGGTAGAGATCTATGTATCATAGAAAACTTATATTGGAAGCAGTCATATGAGCTTATGGAGTTTATCCAACGAATGTTACATTTGAAGAGGCTATTTGATGTCGGGATGCATTATATCCCGCTGTTATTTAATATCTATTTGCATATAATTTTCAAATAGACTTTCAAGATAAAGAGGCGCTGATGACACTGTTATCTTATGCAATAGTTTTGATGCAACAATTTATATTTCTGAGATTTATTCATGAATATAGTTTATAATAAACATTCATCAACAAGAATAATCCAGTAAATGGCAAGAAAGAGTCAATATGAAACTTTTATAATTAAATGTGTGAAGTCGGCAAATTTGTTGGATGATTATAATTTTTTTATTGAAAGGATATTGGAAATATAATACAACAAAAAAATTTTCAGTGATCTATAAAAATAGGATTCTGGCTTATAATGCGTTAATAGATGACCAGTACAAAGACCAACATGTTTTTGACACCAAAGAGTAATAATGACATGACTATCTTATGTCCAACAAATGTCAGTAGAGATAATAACCAAGATGATGTTACATAGAAAGTTCATTGGCAGCTGAAAGTCAGGTAAAGGGCAAGAAAGGTTAGAAAAAGAAAGCATCATGAGCCAGTAGATATTATCAACTGGAGAAGATCAAAAATTATGGAAGGACATTGTGTAGTCTGTATTTAAAAAAAAAATGCAAAAAAAAAATTTTAAGAAAATACACTGGAGGGCAAAATTTAGGTCACATTTAAATTTTGTGTTTTGAGGTACTTGTTTACGTTGTATAGGTTTCTTTTTAGGCACAGATATATTGCTTTTGAGAAACTATGTATTATTTGTTGTTGGTATCATATTCAGGACATTTATGACTTTTTTATGAAATATCTGCATTCACTCTAGTGGAATCTTTACAGTTAATTTATCGGAATCATAATGCCTTTAGATCCTGTTACTGTAGGAAGAATTGTAGCATTGATACAAAATGCAGGAAATGTTAGAAGGAGTCTAGGTGCAGTTCAAAATGTGTACCAGCGCTCTTAGGAGACTGGTCTAATAACTAGAAGACCAGGATCCGGGCAAAATCGAATCATTACCCAAAGAGACGATAGTATGGTCTGCAAGTTTGCGGAATAGAAGAGCCTCTGCTGAAATGTCAATATTAGTAAATGGACCTTTAGAAAGTTTCGAGCTACTGAATTATCTTGCAGAACAATGGCTACAGGTCTACCATTACAACGCCGGCATCAGATGGCAAGATTAAATTTTGGCCACATTCACCTCCATTGGAATAATGTAAATGTACTGTTTTCAGATGAGTCGCGTTTTTATCTCAATGGTTCAGATGGATGTCGTCAAGTATGGAGAAGATCCGAAGAAAGATATGCTGCGGCTTGTATTGATGAAAGACTCCCATGTGGACGTTGGGTAGATTATGGTCAGGGCCGTAATTACTTCACAAGTATGCACAAAGTTAGCCTTCATATAAAATGGCTCCCTTACGGGTCATAGATACATTACAGAGGTTAGATACATTACAGTTAGATGATCATATTATGTCTTTCATGACTATTAGACCCCATAATGCCAGAGTTGTCAGAGAATATTTTGATGAAGTGGGAATTAGGCGGTTTGATTGGTTGCCACCAAGTCCAGATATGAATCCTATCGAACATATCAGGGATGATTTGGGAGAAAGTATTCAAAGGAATATATCCTATCCCAGAACTGCCCATTAATGCCAGAGGGAGAAGTACACGCTATTGATGAAGTTTTTTTACAAGAATGTTTAGTTTTAATCATTTTTTTTTTGTCAGTTTCTTAATAAATCACATTTTGTTTTAACGGTAAACTTGTTAATTCTAAATAAAGCTCAAAAACCAAAATATTGCTGTTAATTTAATATTGTTTATTAAAGGAAATGTTCTGTAATTTAAAAATTATTTTTGTTTATACTATGTTCATATATTTTCATAACACTATCTAATTTATTGCAATTTGAAATATGTTTTAGACTGAATTCACACCAGAAGATGTAGTAGTACCTGATGTACCTGGCATGTTCACAACATTTGAAGTCAAAGGAAAAGCCTTGTTTGTTGATCCCAGACTCTTTGAAGATCCTGAGCACTATGTAAAAATAATGGGCTTTGACAAACCACTTGATTTTAAATTGTATCAGACTACTGACAATATACCAAACAGTAGTAATAAAAAAGATTAACAAATGGCTTTTTAGATTATTGTATTTATTAAGATTTTACTTATACAATTGTGATAACAGTTAAATAGAAATTATAGTATATTATAAAGAAATACTCTCGTTATTTTTGAAAAAAAAATATTTTTGATGAACATAAGTATAACTACATATTATGCGCCATGCTAGTAGACACGCGGGTACCTAATCGCTAGACTTACTTGATGTACTATACTAATCTAGCCCGTTCTCACATGTGACTTTCAGCTTTCGCTCACAGATGGCGGCACATGGCGTTTCATTTATGACATTTATGCTGAAAAGCATATGGGAAGCGAAACTATTCAAAATTATTTTTCCATACAAATTTTTTTTATAATTATTATTGTATATTTCTTAAATTTAATTTTTAGTTTGAAAGTATTTCGTTCTGATGAAACACAGAAAGTTTATTTTCATATTCTTTTGATTAGTTCTTATTGTAATGTACCATAAAATAATATATCACCTTGAAAATATGTTTTGTTTATTAAAATAATAAATTACACATATTTTACAATACCAACTTTTGGAAATACCATTAATAATTGGACATAGTTATGCAGAATTGATCCATCTCACACTAACATAATTTTGAGATAATTAACTTTAAAGAAAATTTAATATAACAATTTGAAATAACTATGTTTATTAATTTAAATATGCACAAGTTATTTTAAGGTGTTTATTGCATCTTATGTGCGTATTTTAAAAAATAAAGTATATTTATTTTTGTCATTAAATAAAAAAAAAACATTTGGATCATTTCTGCAAAATTGTGTTTCTTGTGGTACAAAGCAAATTTTATTATTTGCAGATATGATCCAAAGCGGTGTTTGTCTGTATTACTGTCAAATTATATTTATTTTTACCAAAGTCTGTACATAAAACAAAGATTTATTTTTGGTAACATATCTTTACATTATAAAAACATTGAAATATTTAAGTTTAGAACGAAGAAACATTATTCTGTAGAACTTTCTTCCAGGGGAAAATCTAGTTCATTTCCATACCCATCTATGTCATCGGGAATATTTTTGTTTCCTGTTAACTGTAGATATATGTTTTGACAGTCTTTTGGAATAAGATCTAACAACGACTTAATGTCTTCTAACTTTGGAGCTGAAATCTCTTTACCATTAGGCCATAGAGGCGAAAGATTTTCTGGAGTAAATATTTCTGTCAAAAGTTTACTTTTAGAATTTTTTTTTAATATCCACTTCCACAAATTCACTATCAAAAGAATTTCTCATGAAAATGGAATACGGGTTTTCTTTTGTTAATAAAATTTCTTTGGTTTTAAGCCAATTTATGGGCTTCTTATCTGTTGATAATTTTCTATTGACGATAAGTTTTTCAAGTTTCTGTGTACTATAGAAATTTTCCTTTTTCATTCTAGTAACCACCATTGGTTTCTTCCTTTGACACGAACGCATGACATCCATGTACTCTTCTGGTGTATAAATTCGCTGCTGTAACTTAAGAGCGGATTCTATTTTGCCAAAATCGGTGTCATTTGGCAGGTAGGAATGACCTGGTTCTAGAAATCTTTGTGAAATTTTCTGTAAAGTTGGATGTTTTGACAAAAAGAGTTTCAATAGCAAAACGATTTTAATATTTCTATTTTGCCCCCCACATGAATCGCTCCAAAGTATTAAATGTTTCACATCAGGTTTCAGGTATTTTTCCATGTGATTAATTAAACAACTTCCAGTTTCTTGAGCTCCGCGCCCTGCTTCTCCTTCCATCCATACATAACAGTAACCTTTGTCTTCTGATCCTAAGTGGATACCACAATTATATACCCATAGTTGTCGTTTATAAAAAACGATGTTTGTAGGTATTCTTGGAAGTGGGAGAGTTTTCTGTAAATCAAATGTGATGCATTCCATTTCCTGGGACATTTGACTTTCTTTTAGATCGTCCCTCATTTTTGCTCTTGCATTTTGCCAAAGTTCAACATGTTTCTGATGTTCGTCAGTTAAATAATTTCCCTCTTCTTCAGTTGCAACGTTTTTTATTTTTGTGTTAAATAAATCACATTTTAAACAAGTATCTTTGTGAAGCGATTTTGTTCGTAAATTAAATTTGTTTAAGTAAATAGACTTATATTTTTCAAACGAAACACATTTTCTTACAGGATACTTTTCAACTACCATTGCAGTATACAACTCATACAGTTTTCTTACAGTCAGATTTGGCTGAAGGAATAAGGCATCAGAGCAATTTGCTCTTCTGTAATGTGATGTGTAAGTTGGAATTGATTTTAGATGACGTATTACAAGTTTGAGGTCTTCAGAAGGAGTTTTATTCCAACCTCCCTGCTTTTGTCCTCTTTGATCAACAATGACATCAGAGCTATCCATTTTTTTAAAGATACGGTTACTTTTTTGGAGAGAAATACCTAATGTTTTTACAAACATATCACGGCACACTATTTTTCCTGCTAAAGTATAGGTACGACTAAAATTTTTAATTTTCCTGTGTAAACCTTCGTTTAATGTGGTATAAGATCTTTTCTTTGTGTTTTGTTTTACACAAGCGTTACATTATGGAATGTAACACTTCTGCATTTATAATGACCAAAGAAAATTGCGAGAATAACATTTGCTGATATGATTCAAGCTTTTTGAATCATTACAGTGTTAAATACATTAGTGTTATTGACTTTATTTAATTTTGTAAAAATGATTCGGGCCACTTGGATCATTTTGGCTTAAAAAATAAAGCCTCGTTTTAAAATTATTTTTAAAACGCAATAATGATCCATGTGACTTGGCTCATTTTTGTAAATTACTTTAAAGCCTGGTTTTAAAATTATTTTTAAAGCGCATTAATGATCCATGTGTCTTGGTTCATTTTTGTAAATTACTCTTAAAAATATTTGAAGATTCAAGTAGCATGAATCATTACTGCACAATCGATTAAAGCTAAAAGAGCGTTTAAGGTTGGACATTTTACTATTATTACTGTTGTCTTGCATAGAAAAGGTTGGATCATTTCAGCATAATTTAGTTCCGAATTTTACCGATGCAAATTTGTGTCTAACTCATATTTTAAGAAATTGTGGAATGGATCACTTCTGCATAACTACGTCCAGTTGAAGCTTTTTGTAAAGTTTATGAGAAATATTGCTAGCAAATTCATTAGATGTTATATCTCCTTCTGGTTTGTTCCGGAAAAAACAATGCATATCATTTTGATTTATTAATTGTCATCACTATAATATTGCATCAGAAACAAAATAGGCAGTAAATTCTTCTAGGTTGTCAACAGTCTGCCTACTGATATCTTGGTTTGGTTTACTGTTATCCTTTATATGATGCAGTTGACGAGAATTTTGAATTTCATTGGTATTGTCCACATTATTTGATAACTTATCAATTGACTCATGGACATCTAGTTCTATAGACAACAAATCTGCATCTGCTGGTAATAAGTTACCCTCATGTCTAATAAGTCCCTGGGAAAATATTGGTAGTTTCCTGTAGCAGCTTTCGTTTCATACATGTTGATGGATCTGCAGAGTAATTGCTTCTGGTAAAGTACCAGCTTGATTACCAATAGAAATATCTGGCAAAATGTTCTTAATTTCTTGTAAGGGTTTTTGTTTCTCACATGGTGGTGGCAAGAAATGGTTATCTTTAACTATTTCCTTGATGAGAAATTATTTTCGTGCGAAATACTGACAAATTATAGTTTGATAATTAATGAGAAGTATACGATATAGAGCATAGGGAGCTGTTTAATTTAGTCAATAGTGACTATGATAGTGACAACAATAAAAGAGCACAATCACGTGTTGATATTACAATGAAAATTGATGGAGTTACCATGTTTGCCAATTCAAATGAATAAATATTGGAGTTAAGAGGTTTTTTATAATATTCGTTATAAAGTTAAGGCTGATTCACGAAGATTTCTTAAATAGGAGGAAAAAAAGTTAGTTACTAGTATTGCTATTTAAAATGAATGGCAATGCGACGATAAAAGAAAGGAAAGATTTTTTCACGCCATTAAAAGATGTATTAGTCACAGCAAAAGAAAAAAAGATCTACTAATTGGAGATTTTAGCCGCCACACAGGAAAGAAAGATGAAGGTGGGGGAGATTTGATCCCCCTAAAGACATTAGACGATAATAACTTACAAGTGTCATTTTAAAGAAAAAGTGGTAAGCTTCAAGGCTCATTTATTTTTCCTTTAGTTGAAGACATTGCTGTAGTGGCAAGGTCAGACGTTGTATCAATTTTACCAAAACCAAAAAATGTAGATCAACAAAATAAGCGCCTAGTATCTTATTTTAAATTTGATTTAAAGTTTAACAGTATTAAGATCTGTTAAAATTTTCTTTCATTTCAGTTTTTTTTATTTTACCTGTAAATTTGTTATTTCCAATAATAAAACTACACTCTATGTACCAATTTACTTTAACAAAATATTGAAATAATACCACTTGACTCATCGAGTACCACCAGTAGTACTCATCGGGTAGCGGGTAGGAACTCCTCTGGATAGTCCTATCAGGGAAAATAGATCAATCCCTGCTCTCCGCAGATTTCAGGGTTTCCTGACCCGGGAAACTAGTACCTGCTTAGGGTCCCTTATCCAGGGTCACGGATGAAGTCCACAACGGCAGACACGGCGAAGAAGAATACCTTCGGTACGGCGTGGATGGCGGAAGTGGCAATCCCCTGATTTTAGGGATTGTATAGAATCACTCGCCAACCGCTCGGCAAGCGTGGCGTTTTAAATATGCTAAAACCTCCCAAGTTGAAGATGTCGAGTATCAATACGAAATTACCCCAGGTGAGTAGAGTTATACACTCAGAATCTCACACTGAGCAATCAGTCAGCCTCATGGATTCTGGGGGAGGCAAATATTCGACTGAATCTAATAAGAAAAACTACCCATCATTGCTTCGTATAGACACTTACAATATAAGAACTATGAGGACCCAAGAACACCTTGACGAACTAGAACAAGAGCTCTCAAATATCAAATGGGATATAATTGGACTGTGCGAAACTCGCTTACCAGGAGAAGCATGTACCATCTTAAAATCTGGTCA